TTTAGGAGCCAGATGAGAAACTTATCTCCCTCCTTTAGTGGACTTTGCTATCCTAGGTACTAGGGCTGGGCGATATAGCTAAAAAATGTATCAACGATATAATGTTTCATATCGTTCAGTATCGATAATTATTGACATTTTTTATAACCTTTTTTAAAACAGAGCAATAGAAAAAAATGTTTAAATTTAACCACTGATTGAACCACTGTATTTTTAAATTAACCCAATTTATTGAGACAAACAACAAATATTTTTTTGTTTTAACAGTCACAAACACAATAAAAATTAAACAAATATCTCATTTCTAATGTTTTATACGCAGATTAAATAGGTCATAAGGAAACTTTTGACTTGTCTCCCAAGGCCACAGGAGGGCGCAATGAGCAAAATAATGCAGCACATAATGTCAATGCATGGAAATAACTGTCTATAAAAAACCTGCATTATGTCTACATTAACTCATATAAATCAAATATAATTTCGTAAATTGCATAAACAATTATGAACAAAACGGCATCATGTATTTATGCATTGCTTAATACAAAGATCTGCATTTTGGACTACCTGTAGCTTGTTTATTGAAGATGCAGGACAACCAGCTAGCAGTGCATTACAATAGTCCAGTCTAGAGGTCATGAATGCATGAACTAGCTTTTCTGCATCAGAAACAGGTAACACAGAATAAATGGTGTCCGCAGCAGCCAGATGCCGTCGCACACGCGTGATGCAGTCAAACTCTTCTCTGTGTGACTGAAGCTCTTCTGCTGGGATGGAGCGCCTGAAGTAAACAAGGTCAGAGGTGAGGGTTTGAGGGTCTGTGCACGATGAAGAGAACTCTCCGCTTCCATTCAGGCTCATTACCCCAGAATAATCTCACGAGTGCTGCTGTCGTCCATCTTCAGTCTCGCGTGGTTGGGCTCTGTTTCCCAGCAGCTGCATTAGAGCGCAGGAACACAGATGCATTACCCTGCGTGTCATGCTTCTCTTGTGACCTTGATCCTCCTCTAACTGATCTGCTCTGTGCTTCTGATCAGGGTCGACATGTCAAAACCGGACAGTTGGCAGCCATCAAAGTCATGGACGTGACTGAAGTAAGTGCACACAGGTCATGCAGCGCACTGTGTTCAACTAATGAAGGAATCAAACAATATTATGAAACTGTATTAATCCATATAAACAACTGAGCTCAAATAGTGCACATCTGTACTCCTGCTGGTGCTTAATCACTGTGTGTGTGTGTGTGTGTGTGTGTGTGTGTGTGTTCAGGATGAAGAAGAGGAGATTAAGCTGGAGATTAACATGCTGAAGAAATACTCTCATCACAGAAACATCGCCACGTATTACGGCGCCTTCATCAAGAAGAGTCCTCCAGGACACGACGACCAGCTGTGGGTCAGTCTCACACACACACACCTCTTCATGCCTCACATTTCACACGCTGAGCCACAGCTCAACATTTCTGTTGGTGTTAATGCAGACTAGATCAGATTCTGCTCAGAAACAGCACTATTCACTGTAGAGACCGTCTCTGAGCTCCTCACCGTCCACACGGTGTCTACTGCTGTCAAATCTGACACCACTGCTGCCTTTATACTACTGATGAGCACAAACTAGACTAAGCAGATTGCAGGTGTATTCAGTAGCATCCGTTGACAGAAACACACCCGTGTAGACCCTGTATAACAGTGAGCTGGTGCGCGGGAGAATGGTTTTGATGATCTGTGTGCAAACATACAGGCCCGTCTACCTCACAAAATCTTTTATTTATTTATTTATTACTGACATTTCAATGTTTTCTAATATACAGTCATTAACTCCCGCCAAGTGCGGGTGATTTCAGCAGCGGGTGATCAGGCAACCTTCGCTCTCTCTCGTGAAACTAACACAGAAGTGACTAAAACTGCAATTCATCGACTGGCCGCTAGAGGCTGGCTCCAAAAGAGAGTCAGTCCCATAGACTCCCCATGTTAAAATGCCCAACTTTACAGCAGAACAAAACATGTTTACAGCCTGGTACAAAAAGTGGTTTTGATCTATCTAGCTAATTTTGCCCTTCATGACAACTGTGAGGGGGGTGAATTTTTTCATAACTCATCCGTTTAAATTATATTAAGCCTTAAAGTTCTGCATAATTAAGGGCGTGGCCACTTGAGTGACAGGCGGATTGCTGCTGCTGTCACCACCATCGAGCTAGGTGTGTGTGTGTGTGCGTGAGTGAGAGAGTGAGAGTGTGTGTGTGTGTGTGTGTGTGTGTGTACTGGTTTATATATCCTGGTGGGGACTTAAACCTGAATACACACAGACTCATGGGGACTCGTGTCACGGTGGGGACCTAAATTGATTG